AAAAAAAAAATTATAGTTTTCCAATAAGAACATTATTTAAGCTCGATAAAGTAGTATTTCCAAGTATTTTTGCTAGTCTTTCATTTTTTTTTAATAATAAAATATTTGATTCGAATTTAGCAGCTTGATTTTTTAATTTTTTGAATAAGAAAATATTCAGAAGTCTCTACCTCAGTTTCTATTTTTTTTCTTTCGATATTTTTTCTTTCGACATTTTTACTTTCGACATTTTTCGACTTTATACTTTCGACGTTTTTACTTTCGCCATTTTTACTTTCGACATTTTTACTTTCGACCAAAGTTGAGATAACCACTATATTTCTATACTTTATAGTATCGTCATTCAAGTTGTGTGATTAAATTATTTTCTATTACATGTGATCCTTCTTTAGCACAGACAGCATTAAAAGGCAATGTTATAACATTCCCTCAAAATGTATCAAAGATTGCAAGATCTCTTCCATTAGCATCAGATGAATTGTCACAATTTATTAAAATCATCTTTGTGGAAAAATCACTACCAAAGAAAGATCAACTACGTTCAATTCTTACAGTACGTTGAGAAATAATTCGAAAAGCGCTTATATGGTTATGTAAGAAGAATATTTTATATAAATATATACATATTGATCATTTGTTAATTGATACATTACCGATAAATGACATATCTGATTGCTTATGGAATACTCTATCATTAGTTGATGAATCTGAAAGTCAAAATGCTGAACATTCTGGCTATATTAATAATTATATTGATTCCAATGATTTACCTGAAAACGAAATAATTTCATTAAATACAAGTGCACTGATAGATACAGATGATGGTGCTACATCATCTATTGATATCAGACGACATTTAATAAGATGGATAAGTATTACCAATGAAGTTTTAGCTAGTGATGATAATATATATTTTATACTACATGGTAAACATCCGGTAAATGAATATTTCAATACAGCATTTTTATCAGGTTTGAAAATGCTAACCATCGCTACATATAGATATATTTAAATAGTCTAAATTTTTTGTAGAGGTTTATATCCAACTTTATTTCCTTATGGTATGGGTGGTGTCGAAAATGAATGTCGGCAAGTGCGTGTCACCTATGCAAAACATATTCAATATTTTTTGTCGTATCATGATTATCGTTTTGAAATGAACACTTCATTTATGTTTGTAACGTTTAATATTTTATAACGACGCACAGCATGTGCAAAAGCATGTATACTTGTATCAAGATCATATTTTACTTCGCAATCTGTAGAAATCAATCAGTTAACATCAGCTGAAATTAAACTAGCTTTAAGTCAAATAGAATCCAATTTGTATGATTATCAATCAAATTCACGTTTAGCTACTCTAATAAAATAATTAACAACTGTTTCTGGAAGTATTATGGGATCGAATCAATCAAGATCAAATTATCGTATTGAACTCCATTCACAAATATTCTTTTCAGGTCTTCCAAATATTTTTATTACTATTAATCCGTGTGATTTGCATCATCCACTTGCGATGAAATTTGCTGGTGTAGATCTTAATGTTGATGATTTACCACTAAATCAAATGCCAAAATCGCACGAACGTGTTGCAATTGTAGTTCGTCATCCTATTACTATTGCACGGTTTTTTAATAGACTTATTTCAACAGTATTATCTACTTTAGTTGGCTATAATATTAATAAATATGAATCACATCCAGATGCTCAGGTCGAACGTTACGGAGTTCGTAAACGATCGTATATCTCCGTAACCGTATACGGTCGTATACGACCGCATATGGAGAAAAACGGAGCAAAACGGAGATCGTATACGGCCTCCGTTTACTGTCTCCGTAAACGACAGTTTTTTCGTCCGTATACGACACGGATATATACGATCGTAATACGATCACATGTAAATCGTCGTATTTCTCCGTATACGGTCGTTTACGACCGTGCTTGTTCGACCTGGGTGGTAGTGTATTAGGTAAAATTGATGCTTATTATGGTACCATTGAAGAATCTGGTCGAGGTGCATTACATCTTCATATGCTACTTTGGCTTGCTGATAATAAACATCCACATGAATTACGAGCTTCAATAACAAATGAGATTTGTGAAATTATATGTAATAACTATTAACTACACATCAGAATCTCTGTTTTAAAAATTGAAAACATGAGCTCTTCTATATTTTTGAAAACCAATTTTATAAAAATTTTGATATTCTTTTTGATATAAGTTATTTATATTAGAATATGAATAATTATAATTTTAATCCCGTTTAGATTTTCCGAGAAAATCTGATCAGATATCTAGAAGATATTATTAAAGAAGATTTACGTTGTTTCGAAAACGAAAATATAGCATTAGGTCCAACAACAATTGAAAAATAAAACCATATCTTACTATCAAAATGCTCACCTATACTGTGTCCAAATGATGTAAATTTTGATCGAAAAAAACGAGCCGCTATTTGTATTTTAGCTGCACAAAATCAAATTCATCATTATACAAGTACCTGTTATAAATATCATAAAATATAAAATACAGATAATATGTCTTGCCGTTTACAATATCCAAAAGAATTACATGATACCACAACAATTAATACAGAAACTGGAGAAATTCTAATGAGATGTGCTCATCCAATGATGAACAATTTTAATGAATGGTTTTTACTTGCTTGTAGGTTCGTGTCTTAAATGTAATACATCTAGTCTTGAAGTAGCTGATGTTTTAATATCTATTTAGATGTAATATGGATATCAAATTTATCTGGTCCGGTGCTGATACAAAAGTCCTTATCTATTATATCAGTGATTATATCACTAAAAAAAATTTATCTTTTCATGATACAAATTCATTAATTTATCAAGCGGTAGAAAAATTCGAAAAAAACAAAAATAATATTAGTTATACAGATGCATTAGATAAATCACGTCGGCTCATATTAAGATGTTTTAATAAACTGGCATCGCAACAAGAAATCTCATCTGTTCAGGTAGCATCCTATTTAATGGAATGGTCTGATCACTACACATCACATACATTTGTAAATATTTATGTAATTGGTATCGAACGTTATTCAGAACAATCACTTTCAAAGGTAAGTAAAAAAAGCAATGCTAAAAATATTTTTATTTATGCCATTTCTTGTCAACTATTAATATTTTTTAAATGATAGTTTTAAAAAAAGCAATAAATTATACTAATAATAATTCATCTGTAATTAATAATATATCGTCGGATATACTTGAATCAGTAAATGAAATAGATGAAGTCGGAGATGATGAACATCTAGTACTTTGCAATAAACGAATAGATTATGAATTACGACCAAATGAACTAAGTCATATTTGTCTATATGAATTTTATTCTGATTATCGAAAAGCAAAACTAACGTCATCTGATAAAGCTTTATTTGAATCTGATTCTACATTAACATCACTACCACGACGTGGTGGACGTCCAAATGATCGATGGTTATTTCAACAAGAACATCCACAATATTCTTCACATCTAGTAATACGTCGCTCTTTCCGCGTTGCTCCTGTTTTACTCGGTCCAAGTATTCCTCGTTATGAACGTGAAGACACTAAAGAACGTTACGCAAGAGCTATTTTGACGTTATTCTATCCATGGAGAAGTCTGTTGGATATTTATGATATGAGTGTGAGTGTTGTCTCTTTCCACCCATACCCACACACACACCCTGCATCTTGTGTGGTACATTTTGCTTTTCTTTTAAAGAAAAAACATGTTAGGTGGTAAATAAGAAAAAACGCTTTCGTGATATATCAAAAAAATGAGATTTTTAATTTCAAACCTATGGAGGCTCGTTGGAATAGTTTCAGGGTTCTTGTTGTCAAATCATGTATCTCATTATGTCGAGGATATTTTCTCATGAACCTTTGAATTTAGATAGAGCTCGACATGTTCTACAAAAATATCGGCGAGACATTTGCTAGTTTTCCTAACAAGAAACGTAAAAACAAAGTGTTTCTCTAAAAGTAAGTTTTTGCTTGCATTCTGCTAGAGTGTCGTTAGTAGGGAAATTGTTCCTAATAATGATGAGATGCGGTTCATTATCGTAGACAGCTGATTTCTCCACTGCAACTTTTAATAAGAAAGGTCATTTGAATGTATATTAAAAAAAATATTTTCAATCGACTGTGAAATAGCCGCGCAAGAAATTTTTTCTTCGTCGTTATAAGGGACACTGACTCTAAGTCTTCATATTCATATCTTAATATGATACTTGTCCTGGTCTTTTCTTCTTTTCATTAGTTTTTCTTTTTATCTATTAGAAAATTCGCATTTTTATTCCTACAATGGATGTATGTAATTATAAAGCATGTATACAACAACTTGTGCTGAAAAGTCTCTATTTTGGTTTTTCCACATTTTGTAGTCGAACTAAACAATTAATCATAACATATGCATGTGTTTTATCGAACAATTGTGTTTTTTTTTCAGTAATTTTTTATTATTAAATAAAAGACAAAAAAATATATTCCATAGTTACAATTAAATAAAAATACACGTACGATGTACTTCTACTTTCTCCTCATACAACACACTTCCTATCTCTTTCACATTAATAAATAACATATCTTCTTTTAACAAATCTTATTTTTCCTTCTTATTTCGATGAGTTTATTTATCAATGATTTTACTTAATAACTAATGGATAATCTTGAATATTTATCTTCACTTCATACAAAAGAAAACGATATTGTTCGTTTATTCAATGAATTACTTCCATGGACATATAATTGTCGAACATTAATCGATGCTACTCGAAATGATCAAACAGCTGAATGTGAAGATTTAATTCGACTTGGTGTTGATATCAATGAAAGTGATAATTATAGAAATACCGTTGTTTGGACATTTTATTTTCATGATTCCCTTAGAATTCCCCAGAAAATAACCAGATATTATTTGGAGGACAGTATCAATATTTCATTATTGAATGTAAGTATTTTACAGTTTAGTAAATTAAAGAAAGACAAGTAGAAAAAAAACAATTAGTAAGCTATGACAATTGTCTTGAACACATATCTGTTACATATAACAAACAGAAAATTAAAGCCAAAGACAAAATCTTGATATTTCAACGTCTATTCGACTCTGAGGAAAGCGAATTTGAACCATTGACCGATAAACTTCAACTTTTTCATAATGAATTTCGTCATAAATATCGAGAAAGGTAAATTCTTTTAATTTTTCGGCCAATTGACAAAGATCCTGTTCAAAGATGGCCATATGTTGAGCTAAAAAAAAAAGAATTATATTATTCATTTATTTTCTCGTATAAGATTGTCGTATATACCAATCGATTCGCGTGTTTGTAGAGATTTCAGCCATCGTGAAAGTAAAAGCGCATAGGAATATCCTTCTTCATAATCTGGTCGAACTTAAATAAAGAAAAAGACAATGAGACAATATGAATTCATAAAATATACGGAAGTTCAAATTAAAAATAGTTTTCTTTTACTTGTCTTTCTTTTTTAAACAATAATGATTTCATGTTTTTTCAAACAAGCAACTTTTATCGCCGAGTTATTATTTTGGTAAAGCAATCGAATTACATGTAAACTTGCTTATGTATAGTTTCAAAGAATATCTGAGTATTCAAAATAGATGTTTGAAGCAAGAAGTTATTCTTTCATGATCTATTCTATTGTTTGTTTAATTCTATAGAGAAAAAAATATCTTTTAAACAAGGCTTTCATTCTTGTCATTCTCTCCTAATTACTTCACTTTTTGACCAGAAAGATTTTGAAAGCATTATGAATTTGATCGATTGTTTGAAATAAAACTTTGCTTAATTTTCGATCTTTCTTTGGTTTTAGAAAAACATAGAGCAATTAGTGGCATAACCAATAGGGTCATGATGGACTGAGTGCTAATCTCACCGAAGATTTGAGCTCCACCACTCCTAAGTTTGAGAATTTTTTCCTTTCATAAAATATCTAAAGATTTATTGCGAAAGGATTCATTCAGTATTTTTAATGATCTAAGAGAACGTCGAGTATAAGTTAAACAATAAAATAACTACGCTACTCATAAAGCAATAGAATTATTTTATAAGCATAGCACACGATGATTAATTATGGATTCATTCTGTCAACTGGATCTTATCGGTCTTTCAAACTTAAGAAGTAAATGAAACAACCCTAGAAGATTGAATAGATTCATTTAAATAAAATAATAAAATGTGATAAGCTAAGTTAAATAATTTACTATCTTTCTTCAAGACGTTCTATGTTAAACAAGATTAATGAAAGCTTCCAGAGAGCTAGGAATTCACTATTAAAAGCATCTATTTTGATCGTATTTTATAAGATAAAAAATACATTATTACTAATAGGATCAGTTCCTAATAATTATATGGATATAACTTTCAAATAACTTAGTAAAATAAATACTACTATGCGAAAAAAAAATAGTATGTATGATGATCTGCTGAATACTTGCTGTGAATAAGCTGCGGAATGTGATTTTGACGTAAAGTACGGACAAGTCAATTGAAATTTTTCAAACATAGTAAGATTAATCAAACTATGTTAAAATGCATTCCTAGATTTTTGTTTTCAATCTTTCTCAGTTTCATTACTATTTTAAGGCCTTCTTCTTTTGGCAAGATCACTTGGTAAAGTTCAGTTTGGCTGAGCATGCCAGTAGTAACAAGAATTTCTGAGAAAGTTTTACGATGAAAGTTCCAGTAAGAGATGTTGGATTCTGATCGAGTTGAATGTTATTTGAAACTATCAGTACTATCTTGTAGATTATTGTTACAGGGATTATAGTAGGGGAGGGGGTTAAATACAGATTCCCAGCATTTAGATCCTGCTCAGTACTTTTCCAGCATCTGATACTGAAAAGTGATGAACAGGTACTAGATGCTGGGAGCCTATACTTCACCCTTGGAGTATAGAGTTTTGAGTGGTTATTATGTGAAGTCAACACTTACTAGCATTCTTCGTTCGAAGCAGCATTTTTCACTAGATTATAAACAACAAATCCAGAAAACTCAATATTCGGTAATTCAAATCACTACTTATGTCAACAGAGATACAACAGAAAAAAATTTGTGCAACTAAAAATCGTTTTCAATGACCGCTTCAATAAAAAAGAATAGAGATTATTGTAGTGTGAAAATGCTGAGTAGGATAGCACATTTCTATATGATACAATGTTCCGAAACAAGACAAGAAAATATGATTTTAGTTCGAGTGAAGCGCATGAGAAGCACACTATTTTGATTCTTGTCAAATACAATTCTTTCATATCAAAGAAGGTTAAGGTCAAACAGTGCCATTTCTAACGTATAATCTTAATCAAGAATCATAAGAATTTGGTGAAAATTGGAACAATTGTTGAATTAAAATGTCAATATAAGATAAATTTCAGTCCTATTATTTTCTGCAAAGAAAAATGAAATCTAACAGAAAACAATTCTATACATATTTTTTATACCAGTAAACTTTCACTTTGATTGCTGTTAAAAATCATAATTTTTGAGAAAATCTCTTAAATAATGTTAATTAACTGGCTTTACTTATCTGATTCAAGAAAAATACAATTTTATGTGTCGAAAACCATCTTTTCATGGGCTTAAGAAGTTCAAATAAGATGCAATATCTTTCATTAAGTTCAGTTACAAAAAGTAAACGTATCTGCTATAAATTTACAACGTTTGTTTGAAGTTCAAAAAAATTTGAAAATAAAATTAAAGTTTTCAAAGCATTCGATCTTACTTTTCAAATATCGAGTCTATCCTACATAACTTACTAGATGTCCAAGGAAAATCGTCTGATCACCAAAGACGTAATGTTTGTAAATGAAGCATACATGTGCTAAGAAAAGGCGCAAGATTTTTGCCAATATGAATTACTTCGTTGGAACCATAATGACAAGTCGGAAGACAAAACTCAGCATATCAAACAGTACTTAATGCATTCGTTCTTAGTTCGTCAGATGCCTAAATGGAAAACGAAAAAAAATGAATAAATAAATTATACTGATCTATTAGAATTGATTTATCAAATCAAAGTAAATATATTAAAATGACACAAAAAGAAAGTTTAGTACAAGGGAATAAATGCAGATTCCTAGCAACCAGTATCTGCTCAGTACTTTTCCAGCATCTGATGCTGAGGTACTGAGCAGGTACGGGATACTAGGAGCCTACACTTAAAAGCAGGCTACAAATAAAAGTAATCCTTACATATTGAACAACATGTAAGAGCCATTCGAATTGTTCAATTAGAAGATATTTGAGTTGCACACTGATTGAAATGAGATGAGCCAATACTTTTCACGTATTTCATTCCGTTCTATTGGTTCGTCACAATTAGCTAGGAAAAAAAAATACATTCTCTGTGATTATCATAAGAATATTTGTCAAACAATGAAATAGACTTATTCTAATTGATATTCTCTGAGGGATGTACAAGAACTGAGAAATAGTAATTCCTACTCAATTTTTTCAAAGTTCCTTAATTCACAATGCATCATTCACAAGATTTTTCGCATCTACATTTACATTCATAAAGAACTATGTAAAAATGAATATGTGGATCTCTAAAACCGTCTATGATATGTATCATTTTGACTATTGCGAAGCATGGAACTGAGAGCGAATTTAGAATCAATTCCCAATTTTCCAGGAAATAATCATCACTCTGCAGATAGTGATAGTGCTCGCTATTTTAGAAATTCCTATTTTTCAATTCTTGGACATTGCTAGGTTAATCTGTGACAAATGCAGAATGTATTGCAACAGTGAACGGAATTCGAATACAGAGCTTTAATACTCGTACCTAAACTGGGTACCACTCATTCACTTTTTTTACAAATCGTTTTTTTTCGTGCCTGCTCAAATACTTGTCAGCATTAGTGATTGCAAAATCCACGTTCAAAGGCACACTATAACTATCAAAATATCATACAAAAAAAAAGGAAACTTAATACTAACCATTTTCCCGATGAAACCATGTTCCAAATTGAATTTTCGTAACATTTCGAAAAGGAATATCGATCGTCTGGTGTTGACTCATTTTGGATAAGATTCTTAATGACATCAGAAGATCTGACTCGTCAAAACTTATATTACGTCCTATAACAAGAAAAAGAAATTTTATTTACTTTAAATATTGTTTTAGTTATTTTTCCATTAGATTTAGCTGAAAACAAGATAGATGAAATCTTTCTTCTCATATAATTGTTTCGTGAAAATTAATGCTTTCTATTTTCCTCTATCGTTTTTTTTTAGGAACTAGACGCAAAGAAATTATATGAATATATACTTCTTCAGTTATCAAGAAAACTATTGAAACAGCAAAACAATTTACTTTTGTATACTTTAATACAAGAAATATTAGGAGATAATTCATTGAATTGTTTGAGAAATAAATAAAGTGATGGATGTAACTGAAACCAGATATCGTCAATATGTGCCCAATTGAAAATATTTGGATAATTAGTAAAAGAAAAGAACATAATTGAATTGAGAAGATCTCAACAGATATCTCACATCAGACTATCAGAGAATTGAACTGTATTAGAAGAAGAGAAAAGATGTTGACATGACATGATTGGATCAAATAAACATTTAACATTTGTCCATTGATGTGCAGTAAAAAAAGAATGAATTTTAAATGAATTAATTATTTTTTTCTATATCATTCAACGATAATTGACATTCTGAATAAATATAAAAATTGAAATAAATTAAATTCGGTATTGTATCTGGTAAACAATATTTTCGAATGAAATTGGCATCAATAAAAGATTTCCATATTTTTTCACACCTTGTTTCAATTAGTTTATCACTTTTAAGATGAAGTCGAAGTTTTTCAATATGATTTAAATTGTTGAGAAGCCATTTCAAATAAACAAATTGTAAATCTTCGTAAATGAAAGTTTGTAAACTTAAATATCGTAGTTTTTGTACCTAAAAAAGGTTTCAATTGTTTTTATTAGTCAAAAGCAAAAACTATGTTGAGAAATTCATAAAATAAAAAAAAGATGATTTTTAAAAATATGTTCTCTGGATATAAATGATTCGACAAATATGATGCACATTGCAAGCAGATAGAAGTATATTAGAAGATGATCAATTGAAACAAAAAATTCTGCCAATTTGAAATGGTATCTATGTGGCTGAACGTATTTGATTCTTTTAATTCAGATTTATTCTTGTCGATTTTTTATGTGGATAGAAAAACTCTAATGTATTGTCTCTTAACGGATAAGCGCTATATTAAAACAAAGAAAAGAAAGAGATAGTGTCGCTTTTTACTATTTCTTTCTTTCTCTCTTATTCGACGTTCGCCATCCACAACATAAGAATATTCCTCAACTGTGAGTCATTCAATGTTTTGTGACATATATAAGTTGATCAAAATCCAATGCATAATCTCCTGTTCATTTGTTTTAGAGAAATATATTTGAATTCAGATCAATCATTATTAATATATAGATAATTATTCGTACACATAAGTATGTATTCTAAATATAGAAAACATATGTATATGAATTTTAATATGTCGACCGAGTAAAAATGTTGTCCTATCCGAGTGAAGAGCACGTAAACCGTACCGTTCAATGTCACAAAGAAAAATACCTATAAGCCGAGTTTTATTCAATCGATTTTTATAATTTTGTTTTTGTTTTATTGGTCTATAGATAGCTAGCCATTCAACTCTGAAAAAAATCAAGTTTCCATCTGATTTAATTTATGAGAAATCGTAGTAATAGTGTCAAATATCTAGCTTGTAACACCACCCTCAAGAAGATGACCAAATTTTTCTATATTCCATTGCTAATTTTTCCCATATTATTTTTTAGCTAGAATTGTAGAGCTGTTCAAGCGCTTTCAGAATATGTTGTCATCTTTTGCTTCACACAAAGTTTTATGAATGAAAGACTATCGACAAAGCGTGTTAAGACACTTTCAATTTTTATGTAGGATGACATTGATATCATTAGTATTTCGTTTGAACAAATTTGATTAGATATCAGAGAGAAATAAAGGGAAAATATTTTGACAAGAAAAAGAAGTTTATTTCATAAACTCCGTTAGTAGAAAAATTTTATACACAGTTAAAAAACTTGTTTAGACAAGTTGTAGGATGACATTTCAATTTTGTTATTGCTATAGCTCAATGAAAAATAAACCGTTTTTGATAGAAATTTGATCCTTTTTTCATCTCATAAGTAGCGTAACATCTCAAAAAGAAATCAAGCAAAAACCTTTCTCCATTCGATAGAAAATTCAGTTTTACTAACAAAGTGTTGATGGAAGTAATTTATACACAAAGTTTATTGAATAAATGGATGTAGCACACAGAAATCGACTATAATAGCGTGAATCTCCATCATAGTACAGTGAAGTGTTCTTTTATCTAATTCTAATAGTCGGTCTGAAGATTCGAGATGTTTTTTTCCCATTATATGTATTCAACGACTACACATCTCTCAGGTAATCCTGACAGTAATCATATAAAAATCATGTCATCGTTAGCAATTATATTTAGAGTAAGTTCTATGAGATTAGATGTAGATTTGGGCAATAAAAAATTTCGGAATCAAGACTCGATAAACAAAAAGTTTTGGTATTGATCTAAGCGGGTGTGCATCTGAGTTCTATTCAACGGACTCTCCCCACTAGTCTATTTTAATTGCAGGCACAATACTGTTTTCCTATAGTTCCTTAGCAATACAAAAAGATTCTGCGCCACAATAAAAGCTATGCTTAGATTCTTTTAAATCATTCTAGAATGTTCTAAAGTCTTTCTTGGACTTTAAACGATCGTAATACATTTTTGAATATTGAAATAGAGAAATAACTATATAATAGATATCATAATGATAGAAGAGATGTATCGATTTAATACAGTCGAGTCTGACTTTCGGATGTTGATTGAAATACAGGATGATGTTTTGAAAGTCATTAGGGATTTCTCAAATAGATATATACAGCGAGCGAAACCAGTCATGAAGTCATCAATAAAAATATAGTAAGTTATATAAAACGAAAGGGAAATTGTCGTTAGATACCAGTTATCATTTACGTAGGGAAAATTCTTCACTCTGCATATTTTTTTTACCAGTATAATAGACTTGAAGAGGGTGTGTGTAGTTCCACATTTCAGTCTATTGAAAACTGTATTGATACGTTCTTTACATAGGAGAACAGTGCAAAACATAGTAACAATGATAAATTCATTATGAGGATGAATTCGTTGGTAGTTTCAGACAATTGTCTGAAATAAGATTGTCGATCAACACGTAGAAAGTATGCCAACTTCTACAAATAATTGAAGCAAGTGATATCGTAAGTGTCACACGAAAAAGAATTTTGTGACGTAGAAAATGATGAAAATTCAAAGAAAATTTTGCAGTATGTACCAAACAATTGTTTTTCATATTTATTGTTTTAATTTACATTAATTTTTTACGCACATTTCCAACTTGACCCGAGTCATTCATAATCGTACATGTATTCTTTTTTTTGTCATGAGAACAAACGGACTGAAGAATGCATCTATGCCGATAATTGAAGCAACTCCTAACCAGACGCGCCGTCTGACCTTTTGTCCGCTTATAAATGTGATGACCGCTACATCATCATATCTCCCTTTCCCGCTGACTATTCTATTAACTGACTCTATGTGTGTTATCATTGCTTCTCAATATGTTTGCTGTTCTCTTTTGCTCTCTATGTCGTATAAAACCATGTGTCCGATGTAAGATGGACACAATTGGAATGATAGAGCAGTGTGAATAGTATCTGTATCGAGAGTGTCGGTAACGCTACTTCTCCAGTCTGTCATTGTGATCACAATAGATAAATGCTGCAGCAGTAACGAAACAGTCCACTCTTAATTTTCCATTACAGCAACCTCTTGACTTTCGACTAGTACATATTTGCGATGAAATGAATAGAAAAGAAAATAATATTTAAGAATGTTGCCTTTTTATTTCTTTTTACTTTTTCCAAGCATATGAAAATATGACGAAGTTTTTGTTTTAGGAATTCTTCTTATTCATAGACGAAAGATGTCTGAACTCGAATCAGATGTGACGAAAACATCCAAACAAACGGTCAATACAGTAAGCATGTCTTATAAATAAATAAATGATACCTTCGTATACCTTTTAACAAGAGTTGCTGTCTAATCTTCTTTCGTGGTCGTTTTTCTTCCTATCTGTTTATTGTAGGTTTTGATTATTGAAAATTGATTTTATGCAAAATAAGTACGGTATTCGAACTTGGAGATTAGAAGGAAATTTGAATACTGAAAGACTGAGACGGTAAAGCTAAAGTTCTGTTGGAAATATTTTACAATAAAATATAGAGTTTTGATGAGTTTTTATCATGTTAACTTCGCATGTCATGTTCATTTTATGAAACATGATCTGAAAGAAGTATTGAAATACCATGATAAAACATTTAGATCCAAAATTCTAGATTCTTACTTTTACAGTATCGGCAGCTCTATTGTACTTTACAGTTTAATTTCACAGATAGAACACGTCAGATCCAAATCTTTGTGGATCCAGAACTGATTGATTAAACTTTTAGACCAGACTATTAATACTCATAATGATATCAATTAATTTGGATCTTATAGTCGTTCAAAATACATCAATAATCAAGCTATAATCAGTTCATACTCTAAGATATAATCCGTCTGATCAGAAAACCTTGGATCCACACCTGAACTCGAACTCAATCGAGTCTGGATTCCACTCACAGATATTCCGTTGACAGTCTTATTATAAAAATCAATTTTCAATTAGTAAAGTCTCGAAATGTTACCCATTTTTTGATATTTTTGATAAGAGTGATATCGATTGATACTATTAGAAATCTGTGTTTTTGAAGTCATTCTATTTATTTTCTGTCCAGGATAGCAATACCGAGGACGATGATGATGATGTTTTCTACAATTTTGATACCTTCCTAGATTCAATTCCGGGTGAGTAGTTTGATTTGATGTATGATCAAGGAAATGACAAATTTATCAATAAATTTATTATTTTAAAGCAT